TTTGCTTTGCATCACTTTGTATACCTTCTTCCATTCTCTTCTAGCTTGATGTGTTTCTGTTGAGAAATCATTTGATAATATGATGGGGTATCCTTTGTAGGTAACTTTCTGTCTCTCTCTTGCAGCCTTTAAGATTCTCTCTTTGACATTAACATTTGCCATTGTAATGATGACATGTCTTGGTGTGGGTCTTTTGGGATTCATCTTGCTTGGGACTCTCTGTACTTGTGTAACTTTTTTCTTCCCCACATCTGTCATTATTTCTTCAAATAGATGTTCTAATCCTTACTGCTCTTCTTGTCCTTCTGGTAGCCATATTATATGTATGTTACTTCGTTTCATGTTGTCCCAAAGCTCCCTTAGGTTCTCCTACTGCTTTTTATTTTTTTTTCTCCAGTTGCTGTTCATATTGAGTTTGTTTCTCTACCTTATCTTCTAACTCACTAATTTGGTCCTCTGCTTTTTCCAGTCTACTATTGAAACCTCCCATGGTGTTTTGATTGTAGCTATATCACTTTTGATTTCTTCCTGATTTTTGCATAGGTTGTTGATATTCTCATCCATCCAGTGTATGAACTGTATGACCATTACTCTGAATTCTTTTTCTGTCATGTTGCATGCTTCCATTTCACTTATTTCCTTTTTTGGTGACTCCTCATTTTCTTTCCTCTGGGGATTGTGCATCTCCCCATTCTGACTATCACTAGAAGGTTCAAACTTTTAGTTGCATGGTCCTGGGCCGTGTGCATTGGGAGCTTTGCACAACCCATGTGTCACTGAAGAGTTCCAACACCAAGATGTGTAGCTGCCATGGGTTGGTGGGAGCCACGCTCGCCCAGGATCAGAGTCACTGATGCTCAATGTGGCCTTGTGTGCACACCTAGGACCAGGGACCCACCTGCGCTGCACTGAAACAGAGACCCCTCTGGGATGTGCAGAAAATCAGAGTCCCCTAGCACATGTCAGGAGTCAGAGTTCCCCTGTGTCTGCACCAAGAATCGAGTATCAGAGTCTCTGTTGCTTGGTGCGGCCTCAAGCAGAGAATCAGGGTCCCTGTGTGTGCATGCACCAAGAATTGGAGTCAATGGCTCTTAGTGTGAATGCACTGGGAATTCGTGATCCCATGTGCATGTGATGAGAAACAGAGTCAAGTCACTGGTGCTCAGTGCTGCCTCTCATGTGAAGAATCTGGGTCCCAGGTCTACTTGGGGGACTAGATTTCACAGTAGCACTGTGTCAGCAGGAGGTGCACTCCTGTGCTGCAGAAATTAGACTTCCGTGTGTGCTTGCCCAGAATCAAAGTCAGGTGGCACTGCCAGCCCTGCTTGGGTGTGGGGTTTGGTCGCCTGATTGCATTGCGGAGAACAGATTCCCAGTGTTCATGCATGCCCAGGCTCAAATTCCTGTAGCAGTGCTGCAGCTCTGTGCAAGGGGAGGGTCTAGCAATTCCTATGGCCTGCAGGGAGGGGGATGGGCTCTGTGACTCACAGAAAGCCGCAGCCGGGATGTCTGGATTCCTGGTGTCTGTGGGTGTGCAGCTGTGGTCACATGTCTCTGTCCACAGTGGCAGTAGGGTCCCGGTTTGCATTTGAGACCAGACTGGGTGGTACTGAGGCCAGGATCCTTGTCTCAAGCAGCTCTCAAACATGGGCAGTTTTTAACCATTATTGTTTTAAATAGACTTTCTGTCCATTTTTAACTTTTGTCCTTTGAAATTCCCATTATGAGTATATGATTTTCTTAATAATGTCTTATAAATCCTGTAGGCATTCTTCACTCTTCTCTCCTTCTCTGAATAAATACTTTTAAATAACCTATCTTTTAGTTCACTGATTTTTTTTTCTTCTATTTGACTGGATCTGTTGTTAATGCTCTCTATTAAATTCTTCAGTTCAGTTATTGTATTCTTCAGCTCGAGGACACTTTTATAGTTTCTTGTCTTTTTGGTGAACTTCTCATTTTTTTCTCCACCCCCTCTCCACCCCCAATTTTATTGATTTGTCTGTATAAAGTGTCTTGTAATCCACTGAACTTCTTTCAGAGGATTATTCTGAAATGTTTTTCAGATAATTTATATATCTAATTTCTTTAGGGGTAGTTATTAGAGTACAGTCATTTTTGCTTTTTTTAGTGTACTGTTCACCTGAATCTTTGTGATCCTTGATTCCTTGTGTTGGTATGAGTGCATATAAGTCAGCAACGTCTTCTTCCAAACTTTACAGGTCTATAAGCCCCACCTTTGCTTAAGTTTCTAGTAGTTATCTAGTAGCCAGGAATCATCTAGCTTTTTCATAAGCCAGACTACTGAATCATATCAAGATGTAAAGGGGATTATAACCCTTTCATACTTCAACCATAGCAGGTGGCACCAACCTCTGTCATTCCCTCCTTCCTCAGAAATACAATACTGCTTTTAACCTACTGTGTTCACCATGGAGAAGTTCTGTTTCAGAGTCTTCCATTTGGTCTCTCCTAGGAGAGTCATTGTTATTTTATAGATTAAGAAATAAATGGTAAAAAAAAAAAAAACACCTGTTTGTGTGTCCTGATTATACACTTAGGAGCTTGGGAAATTTGTAGATTGGGTGGATTCACCATTAGATAGACATTACCTTACCTCCATGCACTCTAACAGGGGCCATTATGGTGTCTTGGGTCGCAAGGTATCAACTCGTATACTGTATCAATAACCCTTAAAATTTCTGTGAGTTTTCTTTGTTTTGCATATATGTTACTTGAATAAATCGCCATATGTGCCTGTGGTGAAAAATTCAGGGAATTATGGTATTCATTTTCACAGTCCTTTCTTGTAAGAACTGCTATCAACAGCTTCTGAGTCAAGAATTGGCTAAGGTCTGGAAGGTGTGCAAGGAATGTTGACTCTTCATTGAAGTAATATTTCAACCATCTGATCATCTATTTATAATCTCTTTTGATGACATATATAAAGTAATATCCTTGTTAACTGCTCATGCGTCTTGCCTGTAAGAACAGCATCTTCTAGTAGCTAATTTCTTAGACATCTATGGGCCAGGGTCCCTGGTTGTGATTCTAAGCTTGTTGCCCATTACACAAATTACTCATCCTGCTGTGACAGTTAATGCTGCCTCTTAGCTTCAGTTATTCTGGAGTCCTATCATTTCATTTGTTAGGGAATCCAGCTCTGTAAATCATCCCTTCATTACTCCAACCTACATAGGATAGTCTGGACTGAGCATTTCAAGAATGCAGCTGCCGTCTCAACAGTACATCCTTTATTGCCTTGTTAAGGTGGTGTCTTTTAGGCATCTGAGGACACAGTAACCCCATGGATGGAATTTCCAGTTGTACAGAGTGAAGTCATGACATCTTTCTACGGCTTTTGGATCTCTTTTATAATTGTTGGCCTGGCAGATTTCCTTTTTAAAAAATACATTTTTATTGATTTCAGACAGGAAGAGAGAAGGATAGAGAGATAGAAACATCAATAATGAGAGAGAATCATTGATTGGCTGCCTCCTGCATGCCCCCTACTGGGAATGGAACCCAGAACCTGGGCATATGCCCTTGGTCGGAATTGAACCAGGAACCCTTCAGTCCATAGGCCAATGCTCTCTGTCCACCAAGCAAAACTGGCTAGGGTAAGTCTGATATTTCTTATTCCACTTCATCTAGTGTGCACTGTGCTATAGCAAGCCTCTAAGAGCCACCAGGAGCATATTAGAATCATTGCCCTTGGACCTTGCCAGGCTAATTAAATTAAACTCTGTGGCCCAGGAGAGTGTGCATCCCCCCATCATGTTTCACATTCTAACGTTGTTTTTCCAGGATCCACTCCCACACACAATCTCCTGGCACCTCTTAGTACATGTTGGCCAGACCTGCAGCTCTGTTGGAGTAAACCATCTCTTCAGCTAGCAGGCTCATCTAGAAGATTCCTAGTTTGGTCTTGCTGAGAGAACTCTGCATAATCTTCATTCAGACAAAGTGGTGGATAGGGCAAAGGTCTGTCTACAAATAGGGACAGCGGTCTCTTTTGCAGGACAGTGGGTTCAGAAGGATCTAGAGTTCAGAGTTCTCAGGTGCATCTACTTAGAAAGCCCCACTCTGAGTTTCAGGTCTTCATGCTTTCTTTATCATGGATTTGACTTTGGCACAAGAGGCCACTATGAGCTTAGAATTCAGTCTGCTCTGAATTTCTATCACTTTTTAAAAATATAATCCTCACCTGAGCACATGCTTAGACAGAGAAAGAGATGGAGATAGAGACAGAGATAGAGAGAGAGACATTGATCAGTTGCCTCCCATATACATCCTGATCTGGGATCACACCCATAACCCAGGTATGTGCCCTGACAGGCAATGGAACTGGAAAACATTTCTCTACACAGGACAATGCTTAACCAACTGAGACATTCTGGGTGGGCAGAAGTTCTGTCATTCTTAAAATTAGGGCCTGCACCAAGCCTTCCACTGTTTACCTTACAGTTGCAGGTGGTAATTAGTATATATAAGCCTGTCATGCACTTTTTAAAATACTTTAATGGAGCTTAGAAATAGCCATCTAGCCATGCTGGTGTCGTTCAGTGGTTGAGCATTGACCCATGAACCAGGAGGTCAGGGTTTGATTCCTGGTCACAGCACATGCCAAGGTTGAGTGCTTGATCCCCAATAGAGGGTGTGCAGAAGGCAGAAGATCAATTATTCTTTCTCATAATTGATTTTTCTGTCCCTTTCCCTCTCCCCTCCTCTCTCTGGAATCAATAAAAGCAAATTTAAAATAGTTTTTAAAAAAGAAATAGCCACCTAATCATACAGTTCTTATAGTTACTATTTTTTTCTTTTTAAATGCTAGACAATTGCATCAGTACCTCTTCCCCTACAGGTGAATGTTTATGCAACTGCACTGTTTTAGTACCCCAGGACCTGCTAGACAGTGATCCAAATCAGAACTCCATGCTTAGGGTTGGCTTGCTAAGATGATTATGTGATGTTGGGTTCCCTAAAAGCAAAGCCTGAGATAAAATCATTAAATGATTTATTGTGAGAATTCTCTCATGAGGAAGAGGGATAAGGGAAGCAGGATACCATGGTGGGAAATGCTAAGCAAGGATATGGGCATAGCTGGAGACTAGCTCTAGGTAGTCTCTGGGGAGTGCAGGAACATGAATCACTTCACATGGTTAGTTCAGAATTGGTGCTGGGAACGAACCCCCAGCAAAAAGAGATGTAACCTTCAAGTGACTCTGCCTCCATTTTGCACAAAGCAATACATTGGGGAGAGGTGGCATCAGCAGCCAACACTCATAACAGCGGGGGGATGAGAAATCTGCCTGAAAGTGGGATTTTCCAGGGTATCAACAGCATCCACTACACCATGGAACTGTTCTGATTTGCTTTCTGAATAGCAAAGACTTGTTTGAAATTCTTCTTAAATTCCTCCTTTAGTAGGTCTGAGTCATTTTGCTGGAGAAAAAAAACAGACAAACATAATGATGCTCAATGTCATGTCATTAGACAACTTACAACTGAAAATGATCAGGACTCTTGTCTTAAACACCTAAGTTACATTAACCAGGTTAAGTTTAGAAACTCAAGCATCTAAGAGTTTGTTTCCTAAGAGCATGATTAAGCCTTGTTGTTTAGACAGACATGGGAAATCATTATTACACTGATGATTCTTAGTCATTGGCTTTGGTTTGTTTCTTTTAGTGAAAGTTAGAAAAGTAATCTAAGGCCTTAGTGATAATCAAATATTACAGATGTACAATCAATGATATTCCTTTTACATTGTCAATTCTATTCCCCTCTGGTGATATGTTACTGTATATGGTTCATTTACATGCAAAGGAATCTGCAGCTTGGGACCTCTGAGAGGTCTGTTTGAGTATATTTGGGGAGAGGTAAGAAGGATAACATGACTTTAGGAAGCAATTTTCTCCTTAGGTTTTGAACAGGGAGGACACCACTGTCCTCAATGGTCACCTTTGAGGAGAGGAATGAGCTCTCAGGGGCCTGGAGTCTGGTTGCAGGGACAACTCCTTATTCACTGTTGCTCTCTCTGGTGAGCTTAAATCCTCAATTTAAAAACCCAGTCACTTCCTAAATCCTTGCTTGCATAGGCTTGTCATAGGATGAGGGAAACTCTAAAATCTCCCAGTACCAGGAAATGCAGGCAGAGTGACTCAATGAGTAGAAAATGAAATGGAAGCAGGGAGAGCCCCTTACCTTAGGATCCTGAAAGATGTTGTTCATTTCAAGCACAAACCCCTCCACTTGGGCATAACATCCTTTATTTAGGCTATTCTTGATTTCATCCAATCTCCTAAGTGTCTCTAGGCATTGAGAAGCCTTTTGAACCTGGTTAAAAATATATCAATAAGAGCATTATTGACAAAGTTCAATGTCTACATTCTGTGGATTCCCATTAAATCTAGAGGAAATACAAGGTGAAGGTAAAGGCAGCTCATGCTCCCCCTCCCATGGGCTTCAGATCACAGGCTCCACAGTGTCTGTGTCAAGGTTGGGTTACATTATGGGGCCTATACATGGTTTGTCGTTGTTACTCACATAATTTTCATGTGGAATATTCGGAAAAACGTTGGTCTCGAAATGGCAATAGGCCTTTAGGAGTAGGAATTCACATTTCTGCAAAGAAGGAGACTGTGAATGAAAAGCAGCTTGGCAAGAGTGAGCCCATATGCATGTCTAGGCAGAAGCATGAACACAGTAGTCTTCTGGAAGTTTCCCCAAACAGGGATTGCTCTTGGACACTAACATGTAATAGCTGAGTTGTTGTTTTTTTTGTTTTGTTTTCTGTGAGCAGGTTCTGGTGCATTTTCAGTGTGTTTGAGGCATGGTCAGAAGAGCAGGCACCCTTTGACACCCTTCCCTTCACCCATGACTGTTTGACTTCTCATGTGAGCAGAAGTTGTCTTGGGTCAAATACAACTCACCGACTTCTCTTCTGACCCCATCTGTTTCGCCAGGACTTCAGATTCACTGTAGCACTGCTGCTGACTTCGTGAAGACAATTCCGTTGTGCAGAAAGTACATCTCCAAGGGGTCCTGAGATGTCAGAAGTAAGTGAGCATAGAAACACCTTTGTTCCCACAGCTGCCAATGTTCTCCTTTCAGGAATGGCTGATGGGCACAGCCAGGGAATGAGGGGACAACTCTCAGATTCTCCAGGACTCTCATGTGGTAACCCTGGTTCCTAGAGTAGCAGCAGAGGTTTATTGGGTGGAAGATGGTGTCAAGGTGAGTGTTGGGCTCCCCTTTCCTCGTTTGAGCTTCTGAGAGAACAAAGAGTCCTGCCTTCATGCCTGAATGTCAGAGAGTGGGCCTTAACCCCTGGAGGCCTTGTGCCTCCACTAACCTGTTGAGAACATGCCAAAATAAGGGAAACTGTCCTTATTTACTGTCTGTTCTGAATACACACAGAACACAAACAACTGGCATTTGCACTCCTGTGAACAGGAGTCTGTAGTGGATAGTTCTGGAAAGGACAGTAGTGTATGTAGGCGAAGCACCCAGCTACAGACTTCAGCCTCCTAGAGGTGAGAAGAGAACAGTAACTTCCTACTGATAGCATTTTTAACAGCTCCCCACATCATATTGTTGGACTATGTACCCCTGGCCCTGCTCTTTCCCCATCAGGACACAAGGAGGAACTCTGCAGGGGGAGTGTGCATGGCAGGAGGAAGGTCTCTGAAAGGAGAGGGGGCTGCATCTCACAAACCTCTGAGGTTCCACAGGTGGGAGGTGACAGTCCCCATGAAAGCCCTTCAGACAAACACAGCAGTAGATGAACTTTCCTTCTTCCCAGCAGATCATGCATTTCTCTGCGTTTTCCAGCTGGAAGGTAAAACAATGTCTGTAACCCCAGTGAGACCCTGAAGACCAGCACTGTGGGGATTTGAATCTCATTGTCTGTGCAAACCTTCATGGACAGTTATGTGCTTCTCCCTGAGCTGTGAGCCAACTGCATGGAATGGAGGTTTCAGAAAAAAAACTCTTGGTCTGTGGTGAAGTTCAGGAGGAGTGGCCTTTGTGATTAGGAAAGGTTTTGCTGTAAAACCAGAGCTTCTGTGGCTGACAGGGCAATGAAACCTGATAGTCCAGGATGGGCAGGGTAAACATGGTCCCCTGGCAAGGAGCACTGTTTAGCTGTGGGACCTTTTCCAGGGGAGCTTGTTGAATAACCCTGCTCATCCTAGAATAACATGTTTCAGTGCCCTGCCACCTACAGAATTGTTCAAACAAGCCAGCTACAATCTCTCAGGGAAACCAGGGCACACTTCCCCCTCCACAGCCCCTGGTTGCTCCCTCCATTCCTGAAGGCAACCTTGGTGAGGCCTGCATGGCTGGTACTGCCCTCTTTTCTCAACCTGAGAGTATATGTGACTAATAAACACCTGTCAATCCATCTGTCAGATAGCAGATGCTGTTATTTGCCATCCCCCTGTCAGGTGGATATGCATCTCTCATCAATGCGGTGAAGAGGATGTGATTAAAACAGAAAACCACTTTTTCCTCTCTTTTTTCAAAAATGAAAAGCAACATTTACATATGAATCAGTAACTATGTTTGCTCCTGGTTGCTTTCCTGGATCTGCCTTCTGAGAGATTCCAGACAGCTTGCAAACATCTTGAAGGCTGTTCTGTACCAGATAGAAACATCCTGTCTATCCCATGGCCTATTGGAGAAATTCCTACCTTCTTGTTACCATCACCTCCTCTTCAGCCATGAAAGTACAACCCAAACTCATCCAGGGAAAACTTAATGTATTCTGTCCTCACACCCACTACATGTTCTTTCCTAGCGCTTTCATTTTATAAAACATACACCTTCCGCCACAAACCTGAGAATCCTTTCTTGCTCTATACTCTCACTAGTATCCAAAATTCTATCTATACCCAATCCTCCTCACAGTAGTTGTTAAGCTTACTTTGTTAGTTCTGTCATCCCTCTAAGGTTCACTGAATACAGGTCTGCTGAGACCCTAAAAAATGCTTCCAACCCTAATAAGTAACAAAAAGTGGTCTGTTTCTCAGTCTGTATCATATCTCGGTTAACAACACACAAATATCAGAAATGTCCTTTTAGCAAATGGACACAGTAATTTGGAACACAGCTATGTTATTTCTCTTTGTGCAGAAAGTAATAAAAGGTGAAAAGTTGCTAAAAGTTATGTTGAGTCTTGTTCTGGACTTTTGGATGGAAATTTTTATCTTGGGGAAACAAAATTCTGGTCATTTCTTTTGCTTTTAAAAGTGGCCATATGTGAGCCTGGCCGGTGTGGCTCTGTGGTTGTGTCGACCTATGAACCAGGTGGTCACAGTTCGATTCCTGGACAAGGCACATGCCCAGGTTGCGGGCTCAATCCCCAGTCTGGTGAGTGCAGGAGGCAGTCTATCAATGATTCTCTCTCACCATTGATGTTTCTATCTCTCTCCTTTTCCCTTCCTCTCTGAAATCAATAATATATATATTTGTATTAAATGACCATATATGAGAAAGTGCAAGGCTCAAGGAGCATCTTGCCAACAGCTCCCATTCAGTGTTCCAGGGAATCCTGAATCACATCCCCAATGCAATATGAGACTGCTCTAGCATGGAGACCTGGGGCCATTTTCCTTCTCCTCTCTATAGGGATTCACAGATTACCATCATGATTCTTCAGAAAGTGCTGACCCTCTCTTCAGAACAAAGAAATAACAAATATAAGCAGTGCATAAGAATCTTGCATCCATAATTTTTAATCTATTTTAGAACCCTTTTCTCTGAGGCTCTTTGTTTCTTAGCCCAGCTGCACATTTGAATTGTCAAGGAGAGTATATAAAATACTAAATTCCTGGTCCCAACATCAGAGATTCTGAATCAATTTTTCTGATTTGAGGCACAGGCATTGGTATTCTCCCTAAGTTATAGAATGAGTAACTTGTGTATCAAAATCATCTGAAGACATTTTAACAATTCTAATGTCTGAATCATAACTCAGAATGATTTAAATGAGATTTTGTCTAGAGTGGGGATTCAGGCAATGTTATTTTTTCAAAGGTCTTCAGGTGATTCCAGTGTGCAACTTGAGTTGAGATTTAGCCTGCACAAGTGTGGGTTTTAATGCCTGAGGATATAATAAGACAATGATGAATTGGCCTGTAATATCTATCCTAGGAAAGACTATTAATAAGAGGGAGGCCACTCATGCTGAAACAGTTGCTTTCTACCTACAGACTCTTCACCATGGGTAGTATGACATGACCATCTATCATTCAGGGTTCTGGGAACCATACAGTACCACATAGATCACTCTACCACCTCCTGTAGCTCTTCTGGGACACCACCCAAAAGTTAAAATGAATTCAACACACATGATATTACAATTCCTCTTCCAGAAGACTATCCTTATCTCCCTGTGATCCAAATCCCAAGATGGCACCTCACTGACTTTTCACAGGAAGCTGACTACCAGGTACTACACTTTCATTGCTTTAGTGTAAGCCTAGAATCCCCTTCCTCCAGTAGTTAATCTTCCATGGTAGACAATGAAGTTGAAACAATACTAAGGTCAGGGATATTATTTTAATGTTCTTCAATGGAAATTGGGCATTTTTATGCACTCAATATTTATATGTTGAATGAGTAAATAAATGAGTATTGTTTCACTTAGGAAAAGAGATTACATGCTATCTCTTTAGTAAATATTAACATACGATAAATGATTGTTTGGCAGTGTATATCAAGTTATTTGACAACACAGAAGCTGTCACCAGAAAGTACAGGTGGCCCTCATCAGGAGACAGGAAGCTGTTGAGTGGTGTCATGAGTGACATTTAAATTTCCAGAAACCAGGAGGCTTTATCAACAAGACAAGTTCTTGGAGGCAAAGAGGACCTACAGAGGTAGTAATGGGTCCTGAGATCTGTCACTTTGGGTCATTTCTGTTCTTGATCAAGGAGACACAAAATATAGGGGCAATTGAACCTTGTTGCTGCAAAGTATTGCACCCATGGATAAAGATAGAACCTGTGCATTGGAAGTTGAGTACTAGCTCTTTTAGATACTCCATATTGAGTAACTTTAGATAGTACATGGAGAATGGTGGAGATACTGCTGTTTAAAGTAGTCACTGAATAGGTCAAACAACAATTTATCTTCAATAAACCCAGTGGGTAAAATGTCCCAAGGACTGGTAGTTCAAAAGAACCAGAATTTCAGTTAATGTAAAGGCCTGGACTTCACATTTCTGGAAGATAAAGTCTCAGTAGCCAGCTATGTGCAACCTGTTCTGAAATTTTCACCTTCCCTCCTTTTCAAGCTCTCATTCACACTCAGTATTGGAGAAATCATCACTTTGTCTTGAATCTACACATTATGTATTTTGTTTGTTGCCTTGATAGCCTTCTTCCATAGAGGGAGAAATCACTTTCATGGAGAGACAGGTGGCCTGCACAGCCCCTGAGTAGAACCAAAGGGGTGGCATTAAAGTAAACAATTTCCAGGTCAGACCCTCATGTAAGACACATCAGTCTCCCAAAAGCTCCTTCTCCAACAACACCATCCTCATGAAAATTTCCAGTAATTTCTGCTTGAGAAAGTATTCTGTATGTCTGTGTGTATATCTTATAGAAGGATGGAAGATGATGTAAAAAATTAGAAGAGAAATATGCTTCGAGTTGCCCCTCTTATGGAATAGTACATGGTTTTGTTTATGTCCCAATATAGACTCTGTACTAGATCAGGTTCTTCTGGATGATGGTGAGCAAATTTTTGCTCCATCAGATTTCATTAAAGTTAGAATACAATAACCTTTACGAAAAAAATCTGTGATGAGTCTGTGACCTCATTAAGAAATGTCTTTATGTATTCCATAATTATGTTTGCTTTTACAACTTGGACTCCCTGACAACATCTGCAACTATAGCTAAAACTCAGCTATGAGATGGCTTCTTATTATTCTCATCTCAAATGGTTTACCATTCAAAGGTGACCTTGCATACAACCTAATGTTCAATGTAACAAATCTGAAGGCACTTGCAAAATGAATAACTTAATTAAATAAAATAAAGACAGAAGAGAGGAGAAGAGGAAACAATGTTAAATACAAAACTGAGAAACCATAAAAAGATGCTGTACATATAAAAGTAGTTATGTAATAAGCACTTGTAGTAAGTAATAATCACCGTTTTTATCTTGCCATATATTCTTGGAGGTTGAGGTAGAAGATTTTCCTGAAAGATAAAAAGATCCAAGAGTATGGTTAGCCTGTGTTTATGTTTTGTGAGTCTGGCATTGCAACCTCCTCCCAAATATTTCCACTTGATGTCCCACTGTCAGCTCAAACCAAGGCATCTGAATGAGACACCATCTCCTTCTACTCACCTGTTCTTCTTCTCTCTAGAAGAAGATTAACTACTGGAGGAAGGAGATTCTAGGCATACACAATCAATGGTATCCAGAAAGTCATCGTCACAACCTTTTTCCTTGCTCTTGTGCTTTTTCCCTAAGTTTTAAGAGCCTTTCATTCACAATCTCTTTGACACCTCTCACCTCCTTTCTATTTCCACCAGTGCCACTCAAGCTTACGTCCTTACACCAGGCTATTCAGTCATTACACATGTATCCCATACCTACAGGGTATAGACACTCTGAACAATGCTGGTCCCACAAAGATGTATAAAACTAGAGGGATCTAGGAGAATAAGGGATTGCATGGAAGGACAAGTATAAAACTGTGAGAAGGGCCTTAATATTGGAGTCCGGGGACGCAGGGAAGGGATTACAAGGCAGGTCAGTCAGGGAATATTGAGAGAGGGTGACATTGGAGCTGAGGATTGTAGTTTGACTAAGGTTTCTTGAGCTGAAAGACAGTGAAGTCATTTCTAGGCCCCATGCTGTCTGAGATACTGTTTTAAATATGTCACTTCCCACCTCAGGAGACCTTCATGGTTCTGCATTGTCTATGGTATGAGTTTAAACTCCATAGCCTGGCATTAAATCCTTCCACAAACAACCCCAATTGATGGATTATGCTGTTTAACACACTATCTACTTCAATCCACGGAGCCACATTAGTTGTGGTTCTGGTTTTCGCACCATTCTTTCTCTGGAGTGCCTTCTGCACACTTGTTTGGCCATAGACTGTCTCCTTTCTTTCAGTGCCTAAAGTTGTCTGCAAACACCTGAGTCAGAATGACCTTTCCCTGCATCTACCTCAACAGAGCTTCTTTGACAAATCAATGCACTGCCTTGTATTAAGTTATGAGTGTGGGACAAGCATAATGTCAGGGCTTGGGGTGGTAGTTGTCAGTCAGCCTATATTTGGTGGACAAAAAGTGACCTATCTTAGAGTATAACCAGGAAAATCACTTCCAAGCTCCTGTCACTGTAATACCTCCATCAGCCATTTTAGGGTTCTTCCATTGCAGCGCACACTCGTTTTCCAGTTAGCGTTTTTGACGCCTCCTTTAAGTTCAAATTCTTGTAGGGTGAACCAATTTCCATCCTGGCTTCTTATACACTTCACCGTGGATCCTGTAAGACCGGGATAAGTTGAATCTGAAACCTCATTGTCCTCAGAGCTCAGACACTGACTTCCCACTACATTGTATCTGAAGCCACCCAATTTGGGTACAAGATCACTAGCAGAAAAGTCTGGCCTCACATTTCATACTTGAGAATACCCAAACCCAGCCTTGTGAGTCCCATCCCAGGGGATTTCTTGATTTGGATTGAAATCTCAAGTCTTGGCCCTGTTTCTCACAATGGCTTCAAAGAAACATCTGTGTCCTGTATTACAGCAATTTTCTTCCAGTTCATTGGCTTTATTGAGCAGATACTTTTCTATCCCTGAAATCATGGGTAGCTGACTTTAAAATAATATGAAATATTTTCAGTAGAAAATTTAACTTGTGTATAAAAGATAGTGTTACACTTAACAACATTATTCATTAGAGCAAAGGAAATCAAAACCTCATTGAGATATTACATCACACTCACTCGGATGGCGGTAATGAAAAAGACCGATAATAACAAGTATTGATGAGAATGCAGAGAAATTGGAGCCCTCAGATTTCACTGATGAGCATATAAACTGGTGCATTACTGTGAAAAATAGTTTGTTTTTTCCCCTTAACAAATGCAACATGGAATTGCCATGTATCCTGCAATTCCACTCCAGAGTATATAGCAAAAATAATTAAAAATATATGTTCACCAAAAACTTTACACAAAACAGCATTATTCATGATAGCTAAAGAGAGAGAAAACCCAAACTTTAGATAAATGCAATATTGTATATCCATACCATGGACTATTATAGTATTTGACAATAAAAAAATGAAATATACTAAATGTGGTACTATATGTATGAACCTTGAATACATCATGCTGTGTGAAAGAACCAGTCAAAGAAAAGCACATGTCACATGAATCTATTGATGTGAAATGCTTAGACTAGGCCAGTTTATAGATCATAAAATAGATTAATGGTTGCTTAGGGCTGGGTAGTGGGGTGAGGCGGAATGGGTATTGACTACTGAGAGACATGGTGTTTCCTTTAGTAGGGGACAAAAAGGTTCTAAAATTAGATTGTGATGATGGTTTTATAATCTTGTGAATAAGCCAAGCAAACAAAAAACTCAACAGTGAATTCTATACTCTAAGAGGTGAATTATATGATATGTGAGTTATAGCTCAGTAAAGCTATTTAAAAATAGTTATGATGCAAACATTTATTTATATTAATTGTTCACAAAACAATATTAATCTGATATGAAGTTTATCATAATAGACAATTATTGGAAAGCTTTATGTTAAAAATCACAACACATTTTATAGTCAATATGTAAATTAACTCTCAAAGTCACACCATGAGGCAGGTTTTTAATTATTATCCATTTCTTAGATGAGAAGTATCAGGCTCAGAGAGGTCCCATTCTTTATTCAGTCACTCTTGGCAGAGCTGAAGCTGGGACTCACATTTTTCTGGTTCTAAATTTTGTGAACTTTTCACTACATTAAACATATATCCTGATGATGGTTTCCAGAAGGGGTATAGGATATGAAGGTGGAGGCTGATTCAAAATAAAATATGCAATATTTTCCATCCACAGACTGACATTTCTGCACTTCTCTTTGGTTCCTTGGGCATCCTCATGGACACTTCCATGTGGAAGTGAGAACTTATGCACCATTTCTTAAAGTGTAAAAATATCATCTTGGGGACCCTACCTCTTCTCAAGACAAAACTGGGGCCCAAATTTCTTGAATGATCAGGGTATTCCATTACTTTTTGTGATTCTCTCGCATAGTGGTTGCAGATTAAAGTAAACCTTAAAACCTACCTCGTTCAAATTTTCTCTTAATTAACATGCCCACCATTTCTCCACAGATCACGGGAAGTATTTCAGCATCAAAATCCACAGTCCCATCTGTGGGCTTTCTTATCTCTGAAAGAGAAGTTTCTTTATTGTGTCTCATTTTAAAATTGCACACGTAAAACGTCCTCCCATGTTGAGGTTGTTTCTATAAAGACAGAGGTTCTTAGGAAATTTTATTTCACAAATCTCCAGAGTTTCTCAGTTTTTCTTTCAGTGGTATTTTTGTTGCATAATGAAAGATGTACATCTTCATCTCACCTCTGAAACCTCATACAATTAGAATGCTTTAGCAGAGACTGGCTTCAATATAACTGTTTTAACTCCCAATCCAGTCAGCCCCCTTGATTCTTACATGACAATGAAACATACAGCTGCTGTCATGTTCTGCAAGAAGCTCTCCAGCTATGCTCTTCCACTGCAGTTAGGTAGTGGAGACAAAGTCAAACACTGTGCATGCAGCTCCTGTTTGAGCTCTGACTCAGTGGCAGAGAGGATAATGATGGGTAACCTAATAGAGAGGGTGTCTACTTGATATTTGTGTTCTCTTGCTTTACCTCATTTTTTCTCCTCATCAGCTTTCTCCAAAGCTGAAAGAGGAGCTCAGGAAACTCTAGAACAATCTTCAAATTGCATAGCTAGCTGGACTAGTGCTGTCTGACAATGGTGTGCCCTTTATCAAAAGCTACATCCAATGCTCTGATCATCTAACTCTATGACCTCATCTCCTCTTGTCCACACTTCTCTAATATGGCTCTTTGGTCATTGAAGGCTGTTGTCACCAAGGAAGGAAGAAAGGGGTCAGCTCTTTCCTGCATTGTGATTAGGACAAAAGTGATTGGGGATTAATGGCATTGTATTAGGTCAATTCTGAAAATCTGAGTTCTGTTCTGTTGGTAAGGATGCTTCATTCTTTCCCATGCTTCGGAGTGCCTAGCAGTGGTTGGTAAACTCATTAGTCAACAGAGCCAAATATCAACAGTACAACGATTGAAATTTCTTTTGAGAACCAAATTTTTTAAACTTAAAATATATAGGTAGGTACATTGTTATTAACTTAATTAGGGTACACCTAAGGCTTAGGAAGAGCCACACTCAAGGGGCCAACGAGCCGCATGTGGCTCTCGAGCCGCAGTTTGCCGACCATGGGTAGAGGATTTGTTTATATTCTATGGAAATGCCTTTGCCCTGCTTGTATCTGACCCTTCTGCATGAAAAGTCTGAGTGACAAATGATTATTAGAGAGAAAGATGAAGTTGCAGCCAATGGAATGGTTTTTAGCAGTGAAGGAAGAGCAAAGATGCAGGCACCTGAGGAGGAAACACCTAGGAAGTATGGGAGAAAGAGAGGCATAATTATATCTGGGATTCACAAATGCCCTGAGTCTTCCTTCCAGAAGGAAACCGCCCTAGTGTAGCTCTTCAGTGTAGAGTGCAGACACAGATCCATGAATACAGGAAAGAAAAGGCATATAAAGGGCATTCCAAGTTATGAAGAAAAAGGTTGTTAAATGTATTAACCACTTTTACCTACTTTCAAATATTCTAGAACCAAATATAAAATCTTTAAAACCTTTGTATAAATTTTATGTAAAGCCATAAAAGAAAACTCTGACAGATTTAGCTATCTAAAATTTTCAAACTTCTCTAGGAAAAAACATACAATTAAAAACCTAAAAATTAACATTAAATGAGACAAAATATTAACAATATACATTTGCAAAATTTAACATGTAATATATTAATTATTGGACAGTATGATCAACATAACAGCAACACAGATAAGACAGATACCAGGCATTTGTAGAAGAGCAACAGATGACCAATAACCAGTGAGAAATGCTCAACTACACTAAAAAATTATAGTAATGCAAATTAAAACAGGAATGAAATAAAAGTATCTACTCTTAAATTGGCAAAATGTGTGCTTGATATACTGATTAAAATAAGGGAAATGTAACACTAGGAATAGATTAACTCAGATAAGCAATGTAATTCTAAATATGTTAATACATGGGCAGGAAAAATCTGAAAAGATACCCAACAAAGTCTATAAAGTTCATAGATTTTAAAATTTAAAAAGCAACAAAAATGTGAGCATTTAAAAATATAAATTGCCTATTTGAAGGATGTAAAGTAATCATATAAAAGTAAAATATTCTCTCTCTTTTTTAAAATCTTATGAAAGGTGGTAGTTCTCTGTTGTGTCTGTAATAAATTCCTCAAAACTTTGCAACTTAAAGCAACACAGGTTTTTAACTTGCAGTTCTAAAGGTCCGAACTAAGTTTCACGTTAAGGTGCCCACAGGGCTTTGTTCTTTTCTGGAGGCTATAGTAAGAAAGAATCCTTTTTTTTTTTTTTTTACCTTTTCCAGCTCTAAGTGCTGCCCACATTTCTTGACTCATTGCCTTCTGCTTCCACCTTCAAACACAGCCAGTTTACATCTCTGATCATTATTCCATAGACACAAAGCCCTCTCTGCACAGCAGGAGAGTTTTTCTGATTTCAAGCATCTACATGATTTGACTGGGGCCACCCAGATTATCCAGGATAATCGCCCCATTTCATTACCTTAACCCCATTTTCAAACTCTCTTTCACCATCTAAAGAGACAGATTAGAGGCTCCAGGGACTAGACATGGACATCTCTGTTTCTCTTGGTATAAAATTCTCAAGAACCTTATAGGTCTCCCATGTATGTCATGGGGATTTGCTGCATTAGACAAGAGGCTCCTCCACAGATGTTGCCTATATAATCACATATCTCTATTTTAGTTCAGCTGAGATGGTTGAGGAGATCTATGAGTTACATGCTTAATCTCATCAAAGAACCTTTCTGTGACTAAATATTCTGATCTTTCGCTGCTTCCGAGGCTCTAGCAAAAAGTTGTTCAGCCACTCTTGGTTATTCTACAGAGCACACTTAACCTGACAGAGAATCTCAGTTTTAGCATCTTTTGTAGCTAGAGTAAGCTAAGACAATCCAAATCATCAAGTCCTGATTTCTTTTTGTTGAGCAGTTCTCCTCCCCTGAGTTTATTTTGTTCTTCTCACATTTTACTTTAAGCAGCAAAACAGAAACCAGCTGCATCTTCATCACCTAGAAACCTCCTTAGTGTATATCCAGAAAGTTTTGCTTTCCATATATCTGCAGGACAGGATTCTGCTCCACTTTCTGTCACTATATAATAAGAATCCTCTTCCTCACGTTTCCAAAAACATATCCTTTATTTCCTTCTGCGCCCTCACCAGTCACACCTTTAACCTCCATCTTCGTACATACTGTGCTGTTCAGGATGATTTATGAATTCTCTGAGACAACATAGATGTTCTCTTCCATGTCTTTCCTCCTTCTGAGTCCTCCCTAGGTCTTCAGCATCCACATTTCTACAAACTGCTCAAGGCAATCTAGGCTTCTTTTTTCAATCATTCTACTTAAAATTCTTCCAGCCTCTACCCACTGCCCAAAGCCATTGCCACATTTTTAGGAATGTTTTAGAGCCATAACCCACTTTTAAGGACCAAAGTCTGTATTATTTTCATATTGCTGCCATAACGATTTACTATAAATAGTGGGCTTAAAGCAACACAATTCATCATCTTACAATTAATGTCAGAATTATGAATGGCCTCACTGGGCTAAAATCAAGTTTGTAACAGACTTTCATTCCTTTCTGGAGGCTGTAGGGGACAATCTTTTCCTGATTTTTCTGCTTCTTAAGGCCACCCACATATCCTATTCCCTTCTTCCATCTTCAGAGCCAGCAATATTGCTTCTCTCTGACCATTCTTCCATAGTCACTTATCCCTCTCTCCATAGCCAAGAAAAGTTCTCTGCATTTTAAGGATTAGGGAAGTATATTGGGGCCACCCAGAGTATCCAAGATAATCTCCCTCATTTTAAGGTCCCTAGTAGAATTAAATCTGCAAAGTTCACTTGCCATGTAAGATAACAGATTACAGGTTCCAGGGATTAGAGCATGGACATCCTTGAGATGCCATCATTCTACCTACCACAATATTATAAATAATAATAATGATGAAAGTCTGGTATTTAAAAACTCATTTCTACATCAAAAGCAAACAAAATCTTATTCACTCTTACTTTTTTTCCTCTCAGCTTTTTCTAAAGTAGATTTGTTTCCAAGATCCACAGTACCTATAAAAAAAAAGGTAGTAGTGAGAAATTAGAAATAAATAAATAAAAGTTGCAGATCTTAGCATGATTTATAGTGCAGAAGGCTTTAGTTTATAAGGATGTTTCATCTATTGATTCTCTCTTTGTTCTAAAGAAACTAAAAACCTCTAAATTGAGAAGTAGGAATCCAGAATTGGCCATGCGTCTTCCTTTATTTCTCAATAGGACTTTGAAAAACACCTTAGTATTTCAGTATATGAGCGATAGGAACAGACCTGGTCTTAAGACGTCTGGGTGCATGGGAGGATGCTGACCCAACTGAGCCACACTAGCAGGGCTTCTCTGGACCAGAGAAGTATCTATTCTAATAATAGAGGGATATGCAAATTGGTCAGGATGCCATCACATAACGACCAATCAGGACGGGAGCGGGGCCGCAGCATAGAGCTCTCAGCACACCTGCGCTGGGGGTCTGCACGGTGCAGAGAGGAAAGGAGAGCACATAGGCAGTTAGGGGGATCAGGCCAGGAGGGGGCGAGCAGATAGGCAGTTAGGGGCATCAGGCCAGCAGGGGAGCAATTAGGGGCATCAGGCAGGCAGACAGGTGAGTGGTTAGGAGCCAATGGTTCTGGATTACGAGAGGTATCATGGATTGGAGAGGGTGAAGGTTGGGCTGGAGGACCCCCACTCCCACGCACAAATTTCTGCACTGGGCCTCTAATACATACATAAAGCCTAAATTTTAAAAATGATATCAAATTATATATTTTTAATATTTTTATTTATTAATTTTATTTTTAACTAGAGGCCCAGTGCACAAAAATTTGTGCACTCAGGAGGGTCCCTCAGCCCAGCCAGTGCCCTCTCGCAGTCTGGGACCCCTCGGGGAATGACCACCTGCTGGCTTAGGCCCACTCCCTGGGGGATTGGGCCTAAGCTGGCAGTCAGACATCCCTCTAGCAGCCTGGGAGCCCTCGGGGGATGTCCACTTGCCAGTGGGGAGCAGGCCTAGCTGCAGTCAGAAAACCTTAACACTGCTGAGGAGGTGGGAGAGGCTCCCACCACCACGGCTGTACTGGCAGCTGTCAGCCTGGCTTGTGGCTGAGCAGAGCTCCCCCTGTGGGAGCACACTGACCACCAGGGGACAACCCCTTCCTTGAGCGTCTGCCCCCTGGTGGTCAGTGTGTGTCATAGTGACCAGTCATTCCCAGTCACTCTGCTTTTAGGGTCAATTTGCATATTACCCTTTTATTATATAGGGTAGAGGCCTGGTGCATGGGTGGGAGCCGGCCGGTTTGCCCTGAAGGGTGTACCAGATCAGGGTGGGGCACCCGCTGGGGTGCCTGGCCAGTCTGGGTGAGGGACTGAGGGCCGTTTGCAGGCTGGCCACAGCCCCTTCAGGGTGGGGGGGTCCCCGCTGGGATGCCTGGCCAGCCTGGGTGAGGGGCTGAGGGCTGTTTTCAGACTGGCCACACCCCCTTCAGGGTGGGGGGGTCCTGCTGGGTTGCCTGGCCAGTCTGGGTGAGGGGCTGATGGCTGTTTGCAGGCTGGCTACAGCCCCTTCAGGGTATGGGTCTCTCTTGGGGTGCCTGGACAGCCTGGGTGAGGGGCTGATGGCTGTTTGCAGGCTAGCCAAGTGCCCCAGCAGGGACCCTCACCCAATGAGGGTGTGGTCAGCCTGGGTGAGGAGCTGATGGCTGTTTGCAGGCTGGCCACAGCCCCCAGCCACCCAAGCTCCCAGTGGAGGCTGGCTGGAAGCAGGTATTTGGGATTTATTTGGCTTCTATAATTGAAACTTTGTTGCCTTTTGCAGAGGCCACAGCCAGTCAGGCAAGCGGGAAGCTTGGCTTCCTTCATCGCCCGGGCAACCAAGCCTCCTGCTTGCTCTAGCTCCGTGGCTGCCAACCACCATTTTGGTTGGGTTAATTTGCATATAGTAGCTCTGATTGGCTGGTGGGCATGGCTTGGGCATAGCAAAGGTACAGTCAGTTAGCATCTTTGTCTTTTATTAGTGTAGATTTAAGTTATTGGAGTGATACTTGTTGACAAAACCGTATAAGTTTCAAGTGTACAACTCAATAAAACATCATTTGCACACTGCATCAATCACCCATTCCCCCAAGCAAAGTCTCTTAGTTTAGCTCATTTTTGCTAATTATGCTAGTTTCTGGCAAAGGTATCTCTTTACACCTCTCCTTGTCTTTCTGTGAATGTTTTTATTAATCTCCTTTCATGAATATCTTAGCTCTCTGAAATTTTTCCTTTTTCTTTAACTCTTACCCCAATATCTTCCTCTCTCTGAATATAGAAATAAACTCTCTGATATCAGTTTTTACATCTACCATTTTTGTTTTTGATATTTTTTCTCAATTACTGGGGACATTTTCCTGCTGAATCCCTGCATAAGGCACTTGTTCCCTCCCCTTTCTACCTCTAACCAAGGTCACCAGGACTGTCTCCATGAGCCCTGATGACATATCCCAGACCCTTGCCTGGTTCCGGGATTCACATCACACATTCTTTCAGCCAGCCTTACCTATACTGTCAGACACTTGGTTACAGTCAGTCCTTGCTTGGGCTTCAGATTTAACTCCCAAATTTAAACATGGCTTTTCCTCCTTTATATGCACTGGGTCTTCAGAGCAGGAACTGGTTTTGTTTCCCTGGTGGAGTAGCTCTGCTCCTGGACAAAATTGTAATAAATGAAGAATTTCATTAGCCTCCCCTAAGGGAGTGAGCACCCTCACGACAATCAATAAGTCCTTCTTCCTGTAATTCCACTGCAGAGGAAAGCTCCCCAGCCCTGTCCTTTTTTGCTGCTCAACCCTGTCCTTTCTTTGTGCCTATCTTTTTAAAAAAATGTTTTTATTGATTTTTAGAGAGTGGTATGGAGAGGGATAGAGAGAAACATCAATGAGAGAGCAACATCATGGATCAGCTGCCTCCTGCACACACCCCTACTGGGCATGGGGCCTTCAGTCCTAACATGTGCCCCAATAGGGAATCAAACCAGTGACTTCTGGGTGCAAGGGAGGATGCTGACCAAACTGAGCCACACTAGCAGGGCTTCTCTGTTGTTGGTTTTTTTTTTTGGCCCTCTGTATTTTGCACTGCATTCTCTTTCTTCTTTTACACATAGCTTATGGATTTGTGTTCATGTCTGTAATTGTATTATATTTTAGCTCTGCTTCTTTCCCAAGGTGGTCTTAGAAATCTGGAATTGAAGAAGGCAGATCTCTCATTTGGCTTCTTCCTAGAATGACTTTGTGAAATAGAGTTCCTCCCTCCTTCACCTTCTAGAACCCTTTGGAATATTTACTTGAGAAAAAAATTGAAACTGTATTGAGTTTGAGTGATTGACCTCTTTAGGTTTAATTGTCCCAGCCATTACAAACCAAAAGTTAAAATATGAACAATATTAAATTAAAGCAAATTTGTATTTTAGTATAAAGGTATTAAGAAAAAAATAGAACCTTTTGTAAAAACAAAGCAAAAATCCTGTTCATTTGTAACCATGAAAAGTTCTTATTTGCTTGCTCTTACCTGTTTTACAAAGTATTTTTCTAGATGTAGGTGATTTTATGAAATCAATGGACTCTATAAAGTAAAAGAGAGAGAACAGTATTTGTTTGCAATGGTCTTACATAGTCTATCGCAACTCACACAACAGGTAGGGTTTGTGATAATTTCAGTGTTGAGATTATCATTTTTCTCTTTCTCTCAATTGTACCCAGTTCTAGTGCTCAGGGTCATAATGCTGGGCTACTGCCTGGCTCTCCATTTTACTTTCCATGTGAATTAATAAATGACCCTCAAACATTATCTCCATTTTCCTCCACTATTAATGCTGGGATGACCTACTTACCCTATCTCCCTGTTAATTTTTTTGTGAAGACAAAATGAACTTGTATTCACAAAAGCCCTGTGAAAAATCAAACTGTAAGTCAATAGTTTAAGTATCATTTAAGTTTGAGAGTAGTTGGTCTAAACTATTTTTTCCATTAGTAATTAATATTAGCACAGATTATTCTTTGAAGATGATCTAAGTTTTGCAGTAATGACAATATTATCAACAGATAGTGAAATACTGTGCTCACTCACTATGTTCTATAGAATATGAACACTTTAGCATTAATAGATATGACAGTGCATAGTAAAAATGGCTGTTATTTACTAGTGTATTATTGATACATTTTTAATATTGAATACATTTATCCAGTTGAACAACCACTTATAATGCCTCTTGCTTCCTACAATTTCCCAATAGGATTGAAAAAGTTAAATGCTTAAAATTGTATCCAAGAAGTAATGAGTCAATACATATAGAGAACTTCAGAAAAAAGATTCATCCAAAAAACAGAGCTCTGAAAACAGAGCTCTGGATTTATTTGTCCAGAAATATAATCTTATCTGATACAATTTAGAGTTATAAACAGGTGGCTTCTTGGGTCTCTCCTCCTTTGTTTGATTCTAAGGGATCTAGTTTATTGATCATTGAACAAGGAATACGATTCTTTAGGTGTCTCAGTATGAGACCAAGGAATCGATGGAGCATGGAATTCCCTAATAATTCCCTAATACAACTTGAGAAATCATCAAAACCCATGTATACCATGGCCTGCACACAGGGCACCTGGTCCATCCCTTTAAGTCGCCTGCCTTGTAGGTTCGTGATGATCCCATTCACTATCCCCAGAGCAGAAACTCACTGGTAAAGAGCGCCTGTGCTCTGCTTGAATCTTACTTTCTTTCACTTCTCTTTCTTCTACCTCTTATCCCTTCTATTGTCATTTCACAATTCCTTCACCTGCTGTTTCTTTGTGGGGAGACCTTGGAAATCTTGTTTTAAGAAGAATGTTGGTAGAGAGCCACTTCTACCTCCTGGTGCTCCTTGAAATAATCTTCTCTTGTGTTTGAGCGGTAGACCCATTTTGGGACCACCTTTCAGAGCACTTTGCCTACGCTAAGCCACAAGTCAGAATGTACACTCTCTAAAAATGGAAGGAAACTTACATTTTACA